GTCCTTGCCACCACAACGACCACATGTCACAGAACCACGACAAGATGTCTGAGTGACCAAACCGCTGACACTGAAAACATTGGAGAGGGTTTGGAATATAGGGCCGTACCTTACAGTTCAAATAACCTGCCATAATGTTAAATCAGCAATTGTTATGGTGTGAATGCTTTTTTCAAGCTGGAGAAGCATGATTGTAATTACTTTACTTTACATTAGATATTATTATTATTAACCCTAATGGCAAGTAAATTAATTTAAATGAACTATAACATGCTTTGCTAGCTTGAAAAACACATTCACATCATAACAATATATGTTACTGTCTGGGAAGGACATTGCTTAATACAATGTGTTTTAAGGATGTATAAGAATGTTGGCAGCAGTTGTTCATATGATACCTAGAGCTTATGGACCCACTTATGTTGTAATATGAGAATGAACAGTTGAATAAATAATAGCAAATTAATGTCCCAGGTAAGTAAACAGTAAATTGACTCAGTCAATAATATGTTTAGTATTACTCCATAATCTCTATCTTGAGTGAATTTCCTGTTATCCAGTTGAACACACTACAGTTAATTCAGTTTCATCTAGACAACACCATATCTTTACTATGCACTATTGATTATAAGAAGTTGTTTGTAACCTGAATTACTGTTGATTTGATATTTATTGTGTCTTTGAATTTTAAAGAAACTTTAAAAAAACTGTGAAATTGTGATTATTTGTATTATTTAAAAATATACTGAAGTTTTTTTTATTTAGATTCAAGCTATAAATGAGCTATGATTCTAAAACTTGAAACATATAGTTAACAGAAATAAATTCTTACTCCTTTTTTAGATTCAAGAAAAGAAAAAAGATTTTCCTTAGGTAGATCAACCATCTTCAAATCTAACTTTCCAGTAATCAGTTCAAGTCTTGGTTTTGGTTCATCCTGGTCCATTCCAGCAAGACATTTTTCTAGTTCCTTTCTATAAATCCAGCAACATACAAGGGTCACTAGTGAACTGTTGAACGAAACTTGTGATATAACTTAATTAGCTGCTGCTGTATAGTGTAGATTTATTAAAGTAATTTGGATTTATCACATTTATGAACCACTGTCAGCAAGAATATTCTTCATATTGGCATAAACTATGCATGTCTTACTTAAAAACAGGTAGTTTTAAACTCCAACTTATTTTCCTTTAGATATATTTGTCAAATTCCAAATACACATGAATTTTTTCACTGCTAAACAGAGAATGCTTAAATCAATATAATATATTTATCCAAAATTATATCACAGACATCATTAGAAAGCTTATGTACATTAATTTAAAATTCCAACTAATTATCTTAATTTCTTGATATGTAAAGTTTTGAGTAAACCTTCATCAAGGTATAAGAAACAATGCTGAAGTCATAACCAGTAAATACAATTTTAGGAAACAATACATAAAAAATTTAAGGCTTAGTTTTGTTTTTAAATTACATCGTGAAGTGCACTGGTTATAAATGTACACCACAGAGCACACATCATTTTAATAGACTTACACAACCTACTTTATTATGTAACAGATATTTGCATATAATTGGGAAATAAGGTGACTTAATCAGAAACATATTGTAACTCACAGGACTAACAGATGATCAGGCTTCAAATCACATTCAAATGGGTCATTCACTGCTAAAGGTTTCATTTTCTCCAATAAAAATGTTAGAGAAGGACCACTGGGTAAACCTTCAGTTACATCTAGTGGCTCATCCAAACAGCATGGGTGGTCTAAATATACAAATTAATAAAACTATATTACTTACACACAGATAAGAAATACTATGGATTTATACATTTTCTTAATATTCATCACACCAACAATCACATATGCAACACAAGTATGAATCATATGATTTGGTGAGATATAACATCAAAAAGTAATTAAATTATATAACTATAAAACACTGAATTCAAACGTTTAAATAAAATTTAAGTATTTATATGTTCCTCATGCATGAGATAATTAATTTCCAAGTTAAATCAAAGCTTTTAAAAAACATTTTTTCTTAACATGTATGATTAAAGTGTTTACAAATGTCAACTTGTTAACTGTAAAATCAGTCAAATATTAGGAAGTGTGTAAGAGACTTGAAAGCTAAATTTTTCATAAAACTTGTTCCACTGTAAAACCTTTTGTATTCCTGAAACATAAGGATCCTGAACTTCATTATCAAAAAACGTTTATCACAACATATTTTTTTATTTAATAAAAGGCCACCTTAGAAATAAAACTTTTGATTTAACCATAAATTGTTTTGATCAACTGTCTATAAATACCTCCATTACCAACAACAACAAAAGAAAAGCTAGTTAGGTAAAATTATGTGCTTTTAAATAGGAATTTGGGTATAATTTCATGTTCTTCAGAATTAAAAAATAATAATAAGCAACTAATTTCAGTTCTATGCTTTCTGAGAATAAGTTATGGTTAACACAGCTGATGTTAACTTATTAACAAAGCATTTTGATTTTCAGTGTTGTAACCCAAACGTTTATTTCAGCACAAAGCTGCAGAATAGGCTATCTGCACTCTGTACATCATGAGAAACTGAACCCTGGATTTTAACATTGTAAGTCCATACACATACAGCTGGCCCACAGGGGATGTGAATCCAAAGTTTATAAATTATATATGTTATATATGTTGTTTTTTCTGGTAAGTTAGAAAAGTTATGTATATGTATATGTTTGTAAGTTTGTGTGTAAGTGAATGAAAACTAAAACCAAACCATTAAGCGAGTCTCATTTCACCTAATTTATATTCCCTGCAGATTAAATTTTTATAATCTGTTGGAAATAAAAAGATTAATAAAAATCTTTAACGTACTTACCAACTACTGATTTTAAGGAATGGGTTGTTTTAAATCTAACGTTGCTTTATTAATAAGATAAGACTGTAACAATGCCAAGTTTTATATAAAAGCTAGCACTGCATTACCTTCACTGTATAAATTTACTTAATTTACAATAAATATTTATGAACATCAAGCAACAAAAATTATAAATTCTTCAGCAAACATGCAAATAATCAAACTATTATTAAGTTTCTTTAAAAAAAGAGTAATTTATCTGCCATCCTAACTTTGGTAAAAAGTTAATAAAAATGTAAAAGTATAAAATAGGAAAATTTATTACCAAGATGAAGGTTTTCCCTATAATGGTTCAAGGTGATAGGAACGAATGACTGTTTTTCTTCATGTTGTTTGTTAGGTGATGAATGTTGAGATATACCTACTCTGTGTGCAATGTAAAATAATGACTTTATCATAATATAGTGTAAACATATTATATTGTTCTTAATTAACATGCAAGTTAAAACTGTGAAAGTTCAGTTTGATCACTATCATCAATGTTTAACTTATGCAATGTTTTGAATATCAAACAAAAATAAAATGTTTGTCAACATAAGCTATTGAAAAATACAGTTTATATATCTGAACTTTTTATCCTTACATCAATGAACTTATTAGTCAGCAAAGCCTACCTAAACATATTTTATTGATTTATACTTATATAAAATATGATACCACAAAATTCATTTCATACTAATTAGATGAGGGCAGTGACATACATTAGTCTTTACACATAGATATATATATATATATACTTACTTTCAGGGTTAAAGCATTATGCACTAGTTTTTATTATAAATAAACCTTGTAAAAGTGAAGTGATTTGTTTGTTTGATTGTAGTTAAGCACAAAGCTACACAATGGGCTATCTGTGTTCTGACAACCACGGGTATTGAAACCCGGTTTCTAGCATTGTAAGTCCTCAGATATACCGCTGTGCCACTGGGAGCAAAGCTAAGTGAACATGGTTAAGAATTTTTTAATGCTGGGAAAGCTATCACACAAACACACACAAAAAAAATAATTCCATAAATATATAACTAAAATACATCTACATTTTAATCTACAAAACTATAAACAAGTTAGTTTTATTAAAGCTGTACACTATATTTGAAATGATAAAAACAAAGTAAGCTTATTTTCACTAAATCACTGAATATGATAAAATCAAATGTAATAAATTGAATAGGAAATTTTAAAAGCAAGTTCCACTAAAATTTTCTGATTCCAAAGTGAATTCATTTTTCTCAATATTTTAATCTGTGATACATGTTCATGTATGACATAAATGGGCCATATTGTAACCAAAATCAGACATGACATGAATCACTCAGTTAAAATTCCTCAATCTATACAGGTTTTCTGCTTCATTAAATGTTTGTTACATCTTTCTGGGTGAGAAGTGATGTGGTGATATATTAGCAATACATCTTTTTTTGAATAAACAAAAAACAAGTGATAAAATTATCACTTGACAAGAAGCGTGTCTTTGATCTTTAGAGCTTTAAAAGGCTGATCATTGTTGACTGATATAAAAAACTAAAAATCTTTCTATAGATTATGTAGTAAATTAATGGAATTTATAGTTTAAATGAGAGAAACATAGACCAAAGTACTGACCAATATGTTTATCAGTCATGACAGAAGAAAGACTCAACAAAATTTCAGTCACATAAAAAAAACATTATTCAAAAATATTTTAGTTAGCAATGAGAATTTCATTTAGGATTTTACAAGACAATTCATTATTCTTATTTGATGAACAACTTACAAAACTGATAAAGTTTTATAGTTACAGCATCATTATTGTAAAATAATATATTAATCACCAAGCGCAAAAGGTTGAGCACGTTATATTATGAAGAACCTGGAGTCTCACTACATCATTACAGTCCATGTTCATGTCTGATCATGCTCTATCTGAAAACCAAGTATCTTGACAAAAGTCCTGCAAAGCTTACCCCTCCACTCTGCATAAATTTCCCAGCACCTATTTAAATGACTCAGTCACAGAGATATCCCTAAGATCTGCATCTGGTAAATTGACGTATATGTTTTCATATCGAATAACACGAATACCTGTTTTATCCTCTAGCTGACTGAGGTATGCCACAGTTGAACTGATATATCAAGGAAGCAGCTTGTGTCATTTTTCCATTTGAAGATTCTACTCAATTAAGTTATTTACTGTTTGCCTGGATCATGTGGATGGCTTTTACTACAGTTTTTGTATTCATAAATTTGTACCTGTTATAAGATGTTGTGCTTCACTTATTACATCTGAGTTATGACTTGTGGCAATTCTCTTTCTAGATGGTCCTGGTTCCCCAAGTTGATCCATATTCCTACGTTTTCTTTGTTTTTCATGTAGAAAATTATAAATTCCTGATGTGAACACACATATATATATATATATATATATATATGATCTGAGGGTATGAATATCTTATGTTTTATACTTCTATTATGTAACCTCCCCAAATGCATACTACCTACAAAATATCAAGTAATGTCAAAATTTAGTTCTGACACATGCCATTTCACTGCAATTATATATGAGTTCTGGTTGTTCCGTGACTTTCTGATAAGTATAATTAAATCTATATTAATATCAGTTACTCAACTTTCTTTATATCACACATCCATGCCTTAGTGTTCATTAAAACATAACTTTCACATGAAAATAATGCTCTAATGATCATACAGTATCTATATCTTGTCATTAATTGTTGAAACTAGATTTCTTTGTACTTTTAAAACACAGTAAATTAAAATGTTTACATACTTTATATAAACTGATGATATTGGCATTGGCAGATTCTCACATAAAGTTTCCAAAGCAGCATCACTTCTTTTAGCTTCCTCAAGTAGAAAATCATTGTCTGCTTTTACTAGAAATAGACATAGATTTTTTATATTATATTATTAATTACATAGTCGATCTATAAAAGTATACACTAACATACCACATAATCATTCTCAAAAATATTGGAATTCTAACACAAAATAATAATTGTTTCAGTTCTGATCTAAAAAAAACATTAAAGTTATAATTTTCCTACATGAAAATGTATTTTCAACAGGAATTCACTTCTGCTTACATACATAGCTATTCTTGTTCAGTGCTGCCCCTCTATTTATGAAAATTTTTTCTCATGCCACAAGCCTTTCACTCCCACACACCCCTCGATTCACATGGTTTAACTGATTCTTGCCTGCAAATTTCCATGCAACAAACCTCCACCAATAGTAGTGCCACACACCCACATGACTCATGTTACTCCCTCTATGCTATTCTACATACTTTATCACTTCAAGTTTAGACAGAAACTTAAGCACTGGTTGACAGTGGGGAGAAAGGGTGGGAAGGGTGAGCAGAAGTAAATACCTGTCGGAAATAAATTTTCAGTGTAGGAAAATTATAACTTTCAATAAGTTATTTTACTTCTGCTAACATACATAGCTAGAATCCGAAACTGAATAGGTGGGGAGACCAGTGTGAGGGAGAAAATAGAAGCATCCTTCAAAAGCATTGGAAGGACACCCTAATGAGGGAACCCTCTAATGAGAGGTTTATACATGGGAGGCCACATCACTGCTGTACCAGGTATACTCTTTGCCCAGATGTGGAAAAGGTGTGATAGATCTTGTCCGAAAATAGTGAAGAGCACATCCCAATGAGAGAGAAAGTGTTTGGACAGTGGTCCTACCCACAATATATTATAATTTCAATCACTCTGATAAACAGAATGTGGGTAAAATAAGGGATGTACTCCAAGGTGTAGAGTGACTAGATTGTGATGGTCCATACACAGAAAGACAACTGCACCCAAAACTCGACTGCCAGGAACTGACATCCATGCAGAGGTAGGACAAGGAACATACTGTCAGTAAGTCAACTACAATCCAAAACTCAACATCAGGAACCAACATCCATGAGAGGGTAGGAAAGAGAATCATACCATCCCTATCTCACATTCAGCCGACTGGAGGGGAAAAAAACCAACCACCGACCTGCGAACAGGGCACATGTAAGCAGAGTGAAATAACATACATATATTTCCCGCTCAAATCAAACAGACCAGAACCACCTCAAATGCAGTAACATGCTGGGCATAAAGACATCAAAGGGTAGCACAAGAGGAAAAAGAGGAGCAACCAAAAAGTGAATCCACCATAACCCACAACACTGGGGTAGTGCAATTGAGGTGAATTGAGTGAGAGACCAGGGACACCCTGAACACATGTGTGAGGACTTACATTGATTGGTTCAGCTCTAAATCCAAACCTCAACCACTGGGAACAAACATCCATATGGGGATAGGATGAGGGAACCCAATTGAAGGGCCAAACTGCATTTATAATGGCACACTACATGTGTGAGAACATTATGTCGATTGGTTTAGCCCTAAATCCAAAAAATTGCCAGGAACCAACTTTCATGCAGGAATCCCAATAATTATGACAGCACACTCCAAAGCTACAACAAACCCATACAGAGATGGAGTGTCCATTTGGAGGATATCTCATCATCTATACCAGCAGAACACCACCGCTCTATGCTCAACTGAATGGAGCCATTATTGTTTATAGTGTATATGTCTCATTCAGGAGGATACTTCCTTGGTCCACCACCACAGCGGCTTGGAACTGAAAAGTGGTAAGGACTTTCTTACACCATTGGAACCAATGAGGGGAGGGGATGCTGTGGAGAGTCTGGAGGAACGTTCACACCAGAGACAGTGAAATAGGTGACCATGAAACCCTCTTGTGAAAAGTGGAACAAACCCAATTTATTCAATCTAAGAAATGGCAGGGATGGGCAGCAATCCCTTTCTGCTTTATCCATGAAGTCCATTGGTTAGTACAGTCTGCAACAAGCATATTTATGAAGCAAATATATCACGAGGAATAACCTACGAGCAATCTCGTGGAACACCCCATCTCTAGTTCATGTAAGTTATAAAAGTGAAGACAACATGGCCTTACAGTGTGGGTTTTAGTATAATTCTAAGTGATTGAAGGCATCACTCACTACAGAGTGGGATCCTGGTCTAAACATGGAACAGGCCCCTGAAAAATAATATATATAACAAAAGAAAGAAACTTATCCAGTCATAATCTCACTGATGAGCAAAGGATGGTGACAGGTGGAAGACGGTACCCCAACAAGAAAGAAACAGCTACCCAAAGCAGATAATGGGAGTTGAATATATGAGGTGTAGTCCCAGTGCTCGACAGACAGACCTCCAACAGACAATGGGGTTGAGATGCAGGTAAAAGGTAAGGTGCCTGGTTGGAGTGAAGACACCAGGAAGTGATTACAGGAGATGTATGTCAAGTGTGTGGATTCAAAAAGGGATATCCACTATCTACCACAAAGGGAACAAGAACGAGTGCCCCATTGGCGAGTGATATAAGCCACTACCGTCGAATAGTCGGAGTAAAACATGATTAACAGACACAAGGAAGAAAGTGAATCAAAGCATGTTGGACTGCTGGAGGTGCCGAGGTGTTAACATGGTAAAACATTCTGCCCATAGACCATTGATCTGAAGCCTCTGGCTGATCGACCCACATCCCACAACTTTGGAGATGAGCATCAGGGAAGAGAAACAAATCCAAATGAGGGGAAGGAAGTGGTAAACCCAACAACATGTGGGATATATTCAACCACCAATTCATATAGTAGAAGAGGGAAGGAGGAAAGTTGTGGAGATTACAAAGGAATCCTAGTAAGAGACCATGGGTCGTGCAGCATCTCCTGAAGAGATCACAAATGTACCAGACCCAAAAGAAGAAGTGTTTTCACAGAAGCCACATCCCCAATGCATTAGAGCCTTGCTAGAAGTAAGACAGTTAACCATATGGTTAAGATCATGGATAACAGAAAGCTCCATTGAATGCATTCGAGGAGCAGAATGAATGGTCCCATTGGAGGTGGATGTTTAAAAAGACACTACCTAAATAGATGAGGTTGTTAGATAGCTAACAGGAAAGACTTATCCAACTGAAAAATCCAACCACCCAAGCTGCTTGTGTAAGAAGCAGATAAGTATGTTATGACCACCCCAATCGGAAGGAACTAACTGAAGCCAGACGTCCAAGTAGTGCTGTAAGTAAAATCCCCCAAAATGCAGAAGTCGGGTAAAATGCAGAACACCTGACAAAGGCCATACAAAACCAAAACAAATCCAAAAACAAGGCACAAAACTGGTAGTGAATCACGTGGTAAAAAACTTCAGATAGCATCCCAAGAAATGAAAAATAAGAATATGTGCCATGGGCATTTTCAGTCCTGCATAAATTGCCCACCAGAGTGTAATCAAAGACAACATATTAAAGCAGGGATGAATCAAGAAGTGATTGAGGTGGGACTGATCAATCCAGAATACCAATCAGCATCGAGCATACACAATGAATGGAAAAACCCATAGGTCGGTAAAGTAAAGGACAGGAAGGTGCTGGACATGAAACATGAATAAAGATGGCAATGGCTCAGAATAAAAAAAGAAACAATGACCAAAAAATATAGAATATAGCATCGCAGGTATCCCTTGTGATGCTAAATGCACAGGAGTAGCCTGAACAATGGACTGGTGGAGAACAAGAGCCAACCATAAATCTCTATCAGAAAGTGGATGGTAAACAAATGGTACAAGGCAGTGTTCCACCCCAAAAGATCCCAAGAGCAAAGAAGCCGTGTATAGAGGAAAAGAACTGAAGATGGCAAATGCTACAACATGGAGGAAAGGAGGAGGAGGTATCCTATGAAAATCCCCTAGGTATAGGGAAAATGCCTAGGAAAGGAGGTGTATGATAGACATTTCCTGTAGGAGAGTCAATAGGGTAAGACGAAGCTGGAAAACTAGGTGGAGGATAAAACTAAGATATAACCTCTGAAGTGGTAACTTAGAATACAGAATTCAAAATTGAAAATGAATAACCCAACAAAACCGTGTTGGTGGAAAGAAACAGAAATTTGAAAAATATTTGGAATGAAGTATTAAGTTTCATAACAGGTTGGAAATATTAAATAATTTCACTTCAGAATAAGTCACAAATATCACTATTGTATAATAAATAGTAAACTTGTTAAAAGAAATTGATACAAAGATATGAAAAAAACACTTGAAGAGAGCACAGAATAAACGTCTGAACATGAAACTGCCAAACAAGAAGTGACAGGTAAAATAGCATAGATAGAATCACAAGAGTAATGTGAGTGAGTGGTACTATTATTGGTGGAAGTTTGTCACATAAATTACATACAAGAATCAATTAAACCATGTAAATCATGGTGTGCATGGTAGTGAAAGGATTGTAGAATGCAAAAATTATTTTGCAAATAGAGGGCAGCACTGAACAAGAATAGCTAGGTATGCGAGTGGAACTAAGTATCTTGTCAGAATAACTTTGTTAGTACACATTTCACATTCTAGTGATACACTCATATAAGTTAAATATGTAGATTTATAAACACTTTCTCCACTCATCAAGCAACCCCCAAGTACCTTGATTTAACAAAGTTTTCTTCATTTTTATAGCCTATTGTTTTAGAGTATACAAAATAAAAGACAAAAGTAGAACTACAACAAAGTTCCCTTTGTAGTTATCTAGAAACTAATCTCCACATGTATCTTCACTGAGCCAGTCAAACACATACTTGTGATACGAATACTGCCATATTTGTCAACTGAAATCTTCACTACTAAATAAAGATAGAAATATCCAGTGGTTAGATATATTATTAAGTTGATATTAATGCTTACATTAGAATTATAGCTTTTACTTGATATTTTATGAATGAGAGCCAAAACTCACTTCTTGTCCATGGATACTTGTATTTAAAACTTTCAAGATGTCCTTTGCCTGGATCATCATCTAGCTTTTCAATATGAAAAATTCTGGGAAGGCAAAGTTCAGTTAGAAGTGACTGATATAGTTTAGATGCCTGCAAAAAAGAACAAAGGAACACTTAGTGATACTGATATTTTTGCTATCAAAATGTATAAAACAAAGACTAGAATATAAGTGTTCAAAAGTATAAGAATCTTATTTTTTATCTTTTTAAATGCCTAATGAAGTTTTGCATGAAAATGTATTTTTTAATGAATAAAATTTTGGGACATTATATAACATGTTTACAGTTCAATTGCTTTTTGTAGTGCATGTAGTAAGTAGCAAATTGTAAATCAGAAGAGCTGCTTCATAAGTATAGATGACTCCTTCAAAGGTTTGGGGATAGAAACAGATGTTTGGTCCTTTTGTGAGTAGTCCCTACGGCTAGTTGTGGATTGGATTACTGAACATGATCCAAGGCTTTAACGAAAGAATATCAAGGGTAGACATACAGCAACAGGTGGGCTCACTGGACTTGTGGGAATTTTCAGGGTAGGGTTGAATTATATGATGGAGCTGGGTTCCATTGAAGAAGCAACTGTAGGACATTCCACACACTCTGTTTCTGTTTCACATTTAGTATAAATTAATAATTTAATTTTACACTTGTGCACAGTCTCTTTATTCTATTTAACATCAACACAGTTAAGTATGAGTTCTAGAATTACTCCATAATAGATACTTTTATTGAATCTACAGTTATCAAGTAGACCTATGTGGTGTGCACTACAGTTAATTCAACTCACCTGCATATACCACAGAATGGATAGAAACAGATAATTTTGGTACTGTGACCAGGATAGCATTAATGCAGAGCTTGTTACATCTGCTGAATGGTTTAGAGCTTTTTACTTGAACTCTTGTGTTATAAAATTTAAAATTTAAAAAAGGCTTTGTGTTTTAGAAAATAGAATTTTTCACAAATGAAGGACTTATGAACAATAGGGAAAGTCAGTTGACATGAGGAGATTGTTCTCTAAGAGAGTTGTTGGGTCTAGAAGTCCTCCACTGGAGCAAAGCTCCCTGAATTTTATTGTTGCTACCACAGACTCAGAAAGGATAACTGCCATAATCTGGTACACCCAGAATGGCTGATCGAGTTTTCAGTGAATAAATTGAGAATCATTGTAGTGATTTGAAATCTGGGTGGAGTGGTTTATACAGGACTCCTAGACTTATGCTAGCCAGGGTTTTCAACCCTATCTCTGGTTGAAACCATGAACAGATGAAGTGAGACTGGAAGTGATGATGGTGAATGCTGTCTGCCAACTGGAGCCATCTCAACAGCAGGTAACATGGCAGGTGCTGAATAAGAAAGTGAGTGGGTCATGGGGCAGTGGTGAATTTCCCTAAACCAAAAGGCATTCTTCAAATATGTACAGGACCCACAAGAGAGCTTGGAGTCGAGCAGAACCGATAAATATGCTGCCTAGAGCATCTCATCATTCTGTTACTATAGGTAAAGAGCCTACCTCTTGTCAGAGTGTTGGAGTCCATGAGAGCCTATATCACACTGTACTCCCAACATTTAGGATGTCTTTGCCTGGTGTTCACTGATAGTCTGAGGGAGAAAGACATACAATACCCTCACAGATGCCTATGTGTAAGGCTAACCCACACCATTTAAGGGCACGGCTACAACCAAAGGTCTGGACCACTTCCTTAATCATTTCAGACATGTCACTGTTTGGAATGAAGAAATTCAGGGACAAGCAGTGAAATACTGATGCTGAACCTATTTGATTCAGTGCTTGACTCAATCAAGAATTTCGATAAGGAGGAAAGAGCTGAAAAGTCTGCCTTGCTGTTCATGGCAAGCCAGATGAAGAAATGCTCAATTTTGAAGTTAAATTCAGTTCTGATTGTCAACAGAATCACTGATAATGATCTTCTAATCAATATGGCTAGGATTGAACACAGATCATACACTATAATGATCATTAGGTTGAGCATCTGACAATTTAAATACAGTGGTGATCCTTGCTTTACCAGCAATCAAGTCATGTAATCTTACAGAACATCATTACACCGTGTGGTTTTCACTTGATTACCATAAAACTAGGATGACCAGTCCTAGTGGATATAATACCTAGTGCATAACCAGCTTACACAAATGGGGATGATAACTTAAAGTTCAAAAACTGAGTTAAAAGAGTGTTGCAACACTTGATTTCTGAGGTATTTAGTGGTATCTTAAGGTATTGTACTGTTACCACACAATCATTTGAAAGGAGGATGTTTTGTTAATTGCAAGATTAATGAGGCCAAAAGGCCTTTGCAACTCTTACTTTCTGGGCTATTAAGCAGAATGTCACTATAAAAGGTATCTATAGAATACTGATTAATAACTGCTTGATAATTACAGGTTAGGACTGTCAGTACCAGAATATATAATGTAGAATGCATCATAAATTTGCACAACCGAGTTAGAAGTTGGAAAACACAGTTGACAGGGCTTTGCAACCCTTACTTTCAGAGCTTCAGTGATTTCACAAGAACCACTCACCTGACATAGCAGAGTAGTGAAGCTCACAGAGAAGACCACATAATCTTTGCTAAATATTTGCTGCTGGTACACCTTAAATGCAGATCATTTCTCCAGATGCAGTGAGAAACTTGTTTTGCTTGAGTGTTTATTGATATATATTATAGTAACAGCATGAATAATTAATCCTGACTTATGAGAATATTTTTGTAATAGTTGAAAAGTTCTTGTTCAGCTCAGCTCACTCTATAATTATTTTACGAAGCCTAAAAAGAGAAATGGTCAGGTTTAAAAGCTTGCAGATGGAAGTACCTTACATAGATAAAGCAAAAAGCTCTGAAAAGTAACCTGAGATGGTTATGAAGAGGAGTTGGAGGCAGTCTGTTGGAAAACTTTTAGCATACATGATACATGTAATGGAGATAAATGTATATAGCAATATTCATGTCTATAATACCACACATATGTAAGAATGTGAAGCAAAGTTATTCATGAGTGTTGTACAACATAACAAACACAAATATTAAGCCACATGTGAATGGAAACTAACAATTTGGTTCAATTGTTAAGACTTTGTGATATGGAGTTAACTGTGATTACTGACTTGTAAGAAGTTTTTCATTAATACTGGAGAGAGAATGTTTCAATTTTGGTATTGAAATGTTTGTCAGGTAAAGAATTTTCATGGAAAAATAAGGGTTATAGAAAAATTAACACTATGTCTGTGATTACCTCAATCAAACTTTGAATAGGTGAAATTATCAGTTGTATGTGAAATATACAGACAAAAGCTTCAATGTGATAAGTATACAATTGGTGCATCCAATGATTTATATCATTGTGATATAATATTTTCAGCCATGACATTGAAATATTTAGACAAATATGCAGTTCTAAAAATAAAATCACACATGGGAAAAAACCTTCGAAAATGCTTATGATGGGCTAAGGAAAGTTCTAGATCAGCAGGCAAAAGAGAACCATGAGATGAATCCCAAGAGGTGTTTCCTGGGACATTGTTTTAGCACAAAAAGTAGCTTAAGACACACGAAAATGCAAGAAGTAAACATACTACAGGGAGGTAGCAAGTTGTACACAAGTGGTGAAACTTTGTAAATCATCACACTGTTATTATTAAACCTGCAACTGAAAGAAGGTCCCTAAGTCTAGATAATGAAAGCATCGGTGGATATTAATGGTCAAAAGTGAAAGTTACTTTATTCCATTTAACCTGAACCAGTATATCTGTATTGGATCTGATCTTACAGTGAGCATACTGTTCACTTTCACAGGAGTGACAACAGAGGGTAACACAGCTAAAAGAGTATTGGTTAAGCAAAGACCCAATAAGGCCTTTGGACCAAGCATAGAATGAAAAGTTCTCTCAAAGCTGTTGGAAGAGGAATTTGACACCGTTGAAAATCAAGGAGACAATACTCTCCAACAATGTCAAATTAGCATCAAAAGCTAACCAGACATCAGAAAAATAAGAATTATTTGGACTTAAGAAGCAAAATTGATCTAAGAATACTTCATCTGCCCTAAATGAGATAATAAGTACATTATTTAAAAAATCCAGTCCATGAATCAATAAGTTTATTGATAGGAAGTTTTGCAGTATATTGATCAACATTGGAACAGCTACAATAGCCGACCCCATTTGGTAACAAAAATAAGAAAATTGCCCCAGCATTGAAAAACCAAGATGGATTGATACAAAGAGCAAGAGAACATAAAGGAACATGGAGTAATAGGACAAGATTCTAGTCCATGAGCATCACCTAGTTGTGCTATATCTGGATTAAAATGCTCTTCAATATTAGATCTTAAGAGTGGATATTGGAAAGTGCAGGTCAAAGAAGAAAGTAGAAAGAATATAGCATTTACTGCAGAAACCTTCGATAATGCTTATGATGGGCTAAGGAAAGTTCTAGATCAGCAGGCAAAAGAGAACCATGAGCTGAATCCCAAGAGGTGTTTCCTGGGACACATTGTTAGCAGAAAGGCAATGTTTACAGACTCATCTAAGTTTCAAAGCAAAGATGATGCTATTTCGTTTACATTACATTCAACTCAGGAGTGCTCCTTGTGTATCCACAAGCTTTCTTATCCATTGGCTGCACTTCTCAAGATGTTGAAATCATTGAGTGAAATTCCAATGTCACAGTCTTGCAAACAGTAAAGAAGAATGGCCAACTGATTATATACTGTACTTTCCACATGCTCTTTCACTCTTGAGCTGAAACAACAAACTGTAAAGCCCACATAGCTATGGCTACATCTTGGACATGTAAATTTGTAGATGACATATGAGCGATGCATTTTATGGATCCTGTCTTTAGATTTAAAATAATCACAAAAATACACTTTATAATCAGTCAGTCATTCTTCATCAATGTTTGCAAGACTGTGATATTAAATTAAACTCAATGATTTCAGCATCTTGGAAAGTGCAGCCAATGAAGAAATCCTCTGTACTAAAGAAAGCTTGTGGATACACAAGGTTTGTCTGACATAGCTCATCCTCTACACAAGTTACTTGAAAAACCAAACAAGTTTCATTGGATTGCTGTTTGTGAACAAACATTCAACAAAACTGACAACAGATCTGCTCACATTAGATATAGATACCAGTGATTTTGCAGTGAAAGTAAAACATGCAAGAGAACATATGAGTGCCTAATATAGCAAGTCAATGAATGCTGCAATTCAGTTCAAGAGTGAGGTTCAGTGTGGCTGTAATTTAAATTCTGCTAATAAGTTTATTTGTTATGAATATACTAGTTTTGGAAGTTCTGTTGAACATAATTTGAACATTTGTATGTAAAGTTAGACCAACAGACATAGCCTGTGGCAAATGTTATTGAAGAAATAAATTAACTAATCATTACCTGGACTGGACTTTCCATTGTTTTTATAAATAATCCAAAAGAACCTTCCCAATTACATAACAAGTTTCAACAATATGATTTAACAATATTGCTGAAGGAATATTTTCTTCAAAGACAAACCAGAATTTGAAGGCATTTCACAGAACCAATCATTATGGTTTACCATTCATATTGGATATATGATTGCACACCATGTGACCTAATTTGAAAACTATTCTGCCATTCAAAGGGAAGGAGTAGGTAATTATAGCATCAGTGAAGCTGTTTAGAAAGAACCATATTTTGTTGATTATGGCTTTATCACTTTATACTCAGAGTATACAGTTGTTGCGAGTTGTTTAAAATTTGATGCACATGAGAAAAGCTAGTGCAAGTATTATATATTAATTTCTGAAAACATTTATAACTTACTTTGAAATAATTAATTCAAAGATACAACAGCAGCAATTTTTACAGTAGTCAAGTTCTGATTTTAATTATTACAATGTTTTGATTCATATAACTATTATATAACTTATATAAGTCTTACCTAAAGATAACCCAATACTAGGGGTCAAAACATTATAATTAAATTATGATTTTTGTCTAATGTAAAAATTACTGTTGCTGTATATTTGAATTAATTCTTCAGTTCATTAGGATCTTCACTAAACGTTAATTTGAAATACTTTAGCTAAATAGCATTGTCTACCAAGTGACTTACTTAACAGATAACACCTATTAAATTTCCACTGCTAATCACGTAAAGAAATTTAATTTCTTGCATAAATGAAAAAAAGTTTTACTTGCCTCAAAGTAATGATCAATACCAATAAACTTTGGCATACTTTCACTGATATTTTTCCACAAGAATCACTGAAAAAGAAGGAAATTATGAAGTTTGAATAATCACAAGTTACTTTTTTATAGTTGTTCAATTATTCTGTGAGAAAAAAAACTCTTGCTAATATATTCAAGCTATCAGTACATTTCAAATTATAACTTTAAAAAATTATCTTTATTTAATCAAAGTGTGCTTTTCAAAACGGGTGGTGTGGTTGGTGTTTGGATGGATTGCTTTTAGATATGGTAGATGCAGCTAATTTAAGAGAGATTAAAGGAAGGCTTGTTAGATATTTGAATGATAAGGGCTGGTTTTGAGTATTTTACTTTTAAAGTTTAGTTTTGTGGATGGGATGACCTAAATGGACCAATAGGCCCAATGTTGTCCTTAACTTATATGTAAAATATATATAAGCAAGGTTAAACCTCACTGTTGAACTGAATTTCAGCATTCATTTACTTTCTATAATAGGCAGTCTCGTGTTCTTTTCCATTTTGTACTTGTGAATGTATTGCCCCCATTGCCAAATCACTGGAATCTGTATTAAATGTGAGTGGATTTTTATGAATTGGCTATGCTTGTACAGGAGTAATTGATAGTTCTTTCTTCAGTTTTGTCAAATGTTGTTAGAAAAATATAGCTCTCTTAGTTGAATATGACTCATACCCTGCTAAAATTTATACCTGTGTCCCCTTTTCTTAGCATTCTCACCATTACAAATGAAAAACGATGATGCATCAACATTATGAATTCCCTTTACAGTTTTAAACATCTCAATCAGGTCCCATATAATTCTTCTTTTTATCAGAGAAAACAATTTCAAAGCTCTTAACCTGTCCTTCATATAACATTCTTTCTATCCCAGGTATCCTGGTAGCCCTCCTTTTAACCCTATCTAACAATTCAATGTCCTTTCTAAGGTAAGGAGTCCAAGACTGAATAAAGTACTCCAAGTATTATCTAACCAATGACCTTACAATTACATCATAACTTCTTTAGACTCATATTCAATATTTTGCACATACAACCTAACGTCCTATTTGCCCTGCCACTAGCAACAGTACATTGCTTTGGATACTGACCAACCAGAACATCAAGAAAATTAATTTTCTTCCATAAAACTGTTAAGGTTATTCTCATCAAAATTATACTTACAATTTAACCTCTGATGTCCCAAATTCATTACCTTGGATTTACTATAATTAATAATCCAAATTCTTTTTAAAAGTAGAAGCATCATCATAACAGCCAGCAAAACTTAGAATTTTCTTAACATCGCCAAATGTAAATAACTTATTGACCATTCCTTCATTGATGTAAATTTAAAATAGCAAAGGTCCCAACATTGTGCCCCAAGGCACCTCACTTGTGACATGAAGCTAGTTTGACTGAACTCCATTTATAACAACCCTCTTTGTCCTTCCATCCAGACAACCTTCTATACACTTAACCAACTTATCCTCCATATCTACAGAAATATCTTTTTAACAAGCCTTTAAAATTTTTTCAGATGTTTTATAAAAACCAGATACACCAAATCCATACCTGTACCCCCCATCTACATAAGCAGAAGCCTCTTCAAAGAATGTCAAAATATTATTAAGGTAAGATTTTCCCTTAGTGAAACAATGTTGACTATCCAACAAATTTTTAAACTTTGTTAAATGAATTTGCAAGGCATCTTTTATCAGACTTTCAAGACATGTTCCCACCACTAATGTAAGACTAATAGACCTATAATTACTGGGACAATTTTTATCACCTTCCTTGAAAAAAAGAGTAACATCAGTCAACTTCCAATCTTCTGATACCTGCCCACTATTCAAGAACTTGGAAAAAACAATAGCAAGTTGATCATACCTTCAATCCTTATCTTCTGTTTAACCACTCGGGTAAATATTATCTGGCCCAGAAGCTTTATCTTTCTTTAAATTTCCCAATTTTTTCTTAACAAGCTCAGAATTAATATGATCATCTTATTCAATCTTGTTTCCATCTAGCAACTCTTCAGAATGAGGAATATTGCTTAAATCTTCATTAGTAAATGTTGGACAAAAGAAAGCAGAATTTAATAGCCCAGTCACTCATAGTGATGAGATATTAGCATTCCTGTGTCATTCTTCAAAGGTCCTACTCCCATCCTAACATTTTGCTTACCCTCTGTTACGCCTCCGTTCGTTAGTTAATTTTCCGTAAAAATTCTTTTTGAAGAAACTTTAGCGATACAAGTCCTTTCTTAAATAAAACTGGTTTATTCTTTCTCAATACAACTTTGCAATACACTTAATTTCCACAGTCGCGCTAAAACAAATGCTATAATTCACAACGAACGTCTCACGTGCTTGACTCAACTGTCCGTATCTATCTCTGTCTGCAGTTCAATTACACATTACATTACATTGTTGGCATCACTTCTTACCGGTCTTATATATACAAGAATACCGCATATCTAGTAACCTCTCGAGACTTCAGTAAGGTACGTGAACGTTCAAGAATTTGACATGTTACTAGCGTCACGTGACCCCCACTGTCGTAACACCTCAGTATATTTGAAGAAATCCTTACTATTAATTTTTACCTTTTCAGCCAACATTTTTTTCTTATGGAATTTTTTATTTCCTAGTTTCTCATTTGGCCAACTCTCTTGATATTCTGTAATCCTTCAAATCTCCCATCATTTCTGCCAATTCTAACTTTTTTTTAG